TTTATTGTAACTTAAGTCTATATCTGCAACATTAACTGCATTTAACATCGAATGGTCATCGATTTTTACCAGTCGATTATGACTTAAATTTAACGAGACTAAATTCTCGCCAAGTTTTAAAGAAAACTCAGTTAAATTGTTACGACTGATAATTAAACGTTTCACATCTTTATTGATACTAACGTTTTCTAATTTATTAAAGCTTAAATCCAACTCATTCAAGATAAACTTGGAATACTTTGGCATCTCCACCTCAAAACGAACCATTTCGTTGTAACTTAACTTCAGGTTCTCTAAATGCATTTGACTTTCAAAAAGGTTTTTCGGAATATTCGATATCTTATTATGACTCAAATTGATATCAAACAAATCTAAAATAGGTTCAAACGCATCAGTTAAGTTACTTATTCGATTGAATGACAAATCTAATCCTTGCAAGCCATTTAAATATCGAAAGTCGTGTACGCTTATAGATGTTAAGTTGTTGCTGCTTAGATCTAAATACAGTAAATTTGGGAATGAATAGAAAAATGCTTCTGGAATAATACCGATGTCATTTTCTGAAATATCAAGTTTCTTAATTTCATTGTTACGCCAAGAAAAATCGTTTTTATATGTGGTAAAGTTTCCTGCTGTAATTTTCAGTTCCATCGGTGAATAGGATCGCAGAATGCGAATAGAATTAAATAATTTCTTTTGATCAGCTAAATCATATTTGGAACCAATGCACAAAAACTGTCGCAATTGTATATTTTCCTTTCTAAATATGGCACATGACAAACAATATTGTTGATTGGGTATGGAAGCTCTGTACGTTCGTAGAACAAATCCTTGTTCGGAACAACTTGAAATCCCTTTAGACGGTCTCAACATCAGAACAATCAAAACAACATTAACAAATACTCTGGCCATAATTTCCTAAAAACAACATTCACATAACATCTTTTAAAACTGTGACTATTAGAAACTGATCTACTTTTGATGGCAACTGCGTATCAAATTTGAATGTATCCAAACGAACTCCAGTTTAAAAACCTCATTAATATGAGGTTTGGTTAGTTTTCGGATTTATTAATTTTTATGAAAGTTGCAAAAACTTTAAAAAAATTTTCATGGAGTGAGGAACAATTCTTAAAGCCAGACAAGAAAAAAAACAAAGCGACAGGACACAACAGCTTTTTAAACTTTGATGTTAAATAACCAAAATAAGGTGTTAAGCGAAATATTACTTAGAATAATACAATTTTTTAAATAAGAAGACTAATTTTATTGCTTCTATAAAACGCTACATTATAAACAATATTACTTATTATAGCTTTACATCTGAGCCACATCTTATTTAATATAACATATAATATAAAAACATACATGAGTCCTAGCTAAAAGCAAACGTTACACAAATGTTTGTAATTCTATAAAATTTAATTTACAAAAAAACACATTCAGTAGCCAGGGTAAGCGAATGGCGTTATAAATTGCAATGAAGTATTAGCAGAAGCTGAATACAGCGTGTAAATCATTTCGAAGAAAGTAAAAAGATATAGCACAAACAGGGTGTTCCAGATAAAATGCTACATGAATTGTTACGGCCAATTTTTGGATTATTCAAAATATACATAACAATTCAAATTAATAACAAAAGTAAATGAAAACCTGTTGCTTATATGGACAACCATTGTTCCCAAAATAAATACAATAATAATGTAGCAATACCAATATGAACCTGAAAAAATGTTGTATATGAAAATGGGATTGAGAGCAGGTCCAGTTTTATTAGAGAATTTATACAAACAGCATCTGACGACCGAAAAAGTAATAATCTTGAAGTTCCAAAAGTTCTTCAGAAAAATCAGATTGAGGCCGATACGAATCCGCTAGGAATCAGCACCAATTACCAATGCGATGGTTTGGAATATTTTACGGAAGAACTTTTGAAGGCACTCTAAAAAATTGCTATTGAAGTTTGGACAAAATGCAGATTTTGTTTTCAGGTAGGAGTGTTGATTACAAATATAAGCGCAGATGGAAATTGAGAATGTCTAGTATTTTACGGACAGAGAAGCCCTATTTCTCTCCCAATAATGGAGTAAATACGGCTAATGACAAAACGAAACCGTTCGATGAGGAGTTACACGTAATTTCATTCAGGATATAAAATTGCTCAAGAAAATAGAATTTCAGATTGCATCTCCAACTGTTGTGGTGAATGATACTGGCAAATGTTGAAAGTTTACGCAATTTTATAAGAGACTCGAACCCGAACCAATGGGAAATATGTAGAATGGACCAGTTTTGCACATTTCCCAGGCAGTTGAGGATTTGTCCAGACATTTATTGTCCATTAACATCGCCTGAGCTTAAGCCAGCAAATGGATGTGGGATTATTTCAACAGAAACGGAGTTTTTAACACTAATTTGAAGAGTATTGGGGATAGTATGACGATGAATAAGAGATGCGTGAGAGAATGAAGTGACTCGTGGAAAAATAAAGCTCGCTTTAATAAAGGATTCAAACGACGGAAACGTGGTAAAAAATGTGTGGAATATTCCACAAAAATGTTCTGTCATTGCCGTTTTCGAAGAAGCAAGAATTATCAAGTTTCTTCCTTTGAATCCATGATATGATCACACCGCTACTAAATAAAGTTGGCTGGTCGAACAAGAAAAGTGGTCAAGATTCGACTACACATGAAAAGCTTATTTTGTACAGAACTCAAGTCCTAAAATGATTTTTGAAAAAAATACATTTCCGTTCAATAATATAATAACTGATATCAGGATAACATCAACAATTAATTAAAATTTAATTCAGAAACACTTTAGAATATTAATCACTAAAATCACTTATTTTAGCTGTTATGGCCGTGTGGAACACCATGTGTTTGTGTTACAAGATCTACGCATTCAATCAGGGATACACAAAAGCATTGTTGTTTAAATAATACTTTGTCGTGCCAAACAACAAGCGAATCATGCTTGAACCAAATTGAGTTCATCTCGAGGGGCATTTCGCCTCTTTCCTTTAATTTTGATGAATAAGTTATATAATAGTGCACCGAGAATGAATGATAATAACAAGTTCTGAACTACCATTCCCGAAACAGCATTTGTACCTTCACTGATTCTTTCCAAAATTTCTTTAGATTCAGCTACCTGTTTATCAGAGTGAACCGTTAATTTTGCAGTATTTTTTGCCCCACTAATTTCCGAGTCTGTGGTTTTTGGGCTTAGTTGTGTCATATTTTTTACGAGTCGCGACCACAATTCTGCCAGAATTTTGTCCGCAGTTTCAGAGTTTGGATGAACGACTTTTTCCGAGTTCTGTTGATATGCAGCAATACTTTTAATTTGTTCTTCCACATTTGCAACCCTGTCTTTAATAAACTGATAGTCTATTTTTTCATTATTTGTTATACTGCTATTATTTGATGGAAAATTTTCAAAAAAAACATTTGTTTTACTGATATTTGCCAAAATATCATTAATTACTGTACTGATGTTCGTTTTAAAATTATCCATATTAATAATAGTGGTATTTATTTTTTGCAAATTACTTGAAGTGTGATTCAGTACGGTTTCCTCCAATCTTTTAAAATGTGGATCAATATTTTCGAGCACCTGAGTCAATATATCAAGTCCAATAGTTTGGCCAATCTCACTTTCAGATTCATTAAAACGGCTGGTATTATTTCGGTATGTTTCAATGCATTTTACGCCTAAAATATTGCTGCTGTTATGAACATTTCCTTGAATCACATCAATAGACCGTGATTTTAGCATATGCATAATATCTTTTAATTCTGAACATATCCACATATTATTATTTAAATCAACCGACTTCAGCATAGCGAAACTGTAAAAAAAGGTCGCCCAATTATTGTATGATCCAAACGAGCTTTCAGCAAGTAAATTGTTGGAAATGTCGAGAGAGGATAATTTCTGCTGATTTCGAAAACTGCCTGTAGGTAGTCTCTGCAATTTATTGTAACTCAAGTCTATATCTGCAACATTAACTGCATTTAACATCGAATGGTCATCGATTTTTACCAGTCGATTATGACTTAAATTTAACGAGACGAAATTCTCGCCAAGGCTTAAGGAAAACTCAGTTAATTTGTTATAACTGATAATTAAACGTTTCACATCTTTATTGATACTAACGTTTTCTAATTTATTAAAGCTTAAATCCAGCTCATTCAAGATAAACTTGGAATACTTTGGCATCTCCATCTCAAAACGAACCATTTCGTTGTAACTTAAATTCAGATTCTCTAAATGCATATGACTTTGAAATAGATCTTTCGGAATATTCGATATTTTATTATGACTTAAGTCGATATCAAACAAATCGACAACATTCGCAAACGCATCAGATAAATGAGTTATTCTATTGAACGACAAATCTAAAACCTGTAAGTTTTCTAAATATATAAAATCACTTCGACTTATAGACGTAAGGTTGTTTTTGCTAATATCTAATGACCATACATGTGGAAATAAAAGGAAAAATGCTTCGGGAATAAATCCGATATTATTTTGCGAAATGTCAAGTATCCTTACGCTGCTGAATTGAAAATTATTCTCATTTGAATATCTCGTGAAGTTAGTTGCTTCAATTTTGAGCTCTTGTTCTTGTCCACCGTAAGCAACTGTTTCATACATTACATAAAAGATGTCATCGGAATAATTGGAGTCATCTGAACACAGCCACCGCGGAAACTCTTGAGTTCGGTAATCAAACTGTAGACATGATAAGCAATTCCTTTCGTTCGGAATAGGAATTCTGTAACTCCTATAAACGTTGTCTGTTTGTGTACAAGTTGACTTTCCTTCACATATTTTCAATGTCATTACAATCAGTAGAGCTCTGGAAAATGTATTTTTCATACTTTTCTGAAAATAATATTCATAAAACTTTTCTAAAAATTCTGTTGCGACTGTTTAATGATCTTTTGGCATTAGCTGTATTTCAAATTCCACCCTAACAAAATTTTCAAGTGTATTTTTACTTTGATCAGCACATAAAAGTCCTATATATTTATTTCCTCTTCCCTAACAGTATTTGTTAATCATTTGAATAGTTTAGACTTGGTGTTGATTCAGGTTTACTCTTGGTAAATTTAGGACTACATTTCATTTCATGTAGGAATATTATGCGAACTTCTATCGCGTCCTGAAGTTATCAAGATTAAACCTGAATCACGCTGTATTTTTATAGCATATTGGGGTATCGATAATTTACATCAGTGATTTCAAACTTGCAGAGTTATGGAATCGTATTACTAAATATTACCAACAAATTACACCATATGTACAGTGTCAACGATCGAGAATATTGTGAGAAGTTGTGCTTGCAAGAGGTGAATGGAGAACATTTTCAACATTTCCAACGTGAGTGAGAGTTTCAACAGCATAAATTCCAATTTAACCTTTATTTGATTAAATTTCTTCAAAATTTAATATTTCAACCCACGAGTCCATTACAAAAAACAACAACATTACAACGCATACCATTTAATGCCATTTACAAAGGAAAAAACCGATATAAATGTGTCCCTGAAAACTGAAAGCTTTTGTCGATTTTTAAGCAAAGCCGCAAAGCGAGTTTTTAAAAGCATAAGTGCACATCTTCCTCGACATATGATTATTTTTAACCAAAATCTCAACCATTAGCAAAGTTGATTCGGATATGAAAGCCAAGAGTATATTATTAGTTGTTTTTTAAACGGCGTTAAACAGATTTGAAAAGAAAAAAAAAGAAAAAAAAAAGAAATCAAGAGAATTTTCATATATTTTACACTTAAAAAATTCATGTTTCAATGCAAAAAATGCGATCGTCAAGTTCAATGTTTTGACGCTAATAAGGCGAGCTTTTCTTGTGATTCTGAGTCTAATTTCGTTTATGCAATCATACCAAAAGTAGATTCAGTGTCATTTTATTAATTTTTAGCTACTCTACCTTAAACTGATCAATTTTTTCTCTTTAATAGAGTTTCACACTGATATGACGTGTGATCGTGAGCATAGAATTTCGTGCCATCTGTAGCCAATTGTAATTCAGAGTGGAAACTTAAAATGGAAATTAGCACGTGAATAATGATTCACTTGCAGTTCACAAATCATAAGAAATAAAGATCTTTTTATAGAAATTTCCTCTATCAACAACTTTTCTTAATGGTGTTTTCGGCAAAAAATGCGATTTTGCGAAAAATTTATGAATTTCAATGGATGAACAGTGGTGAAAAACCGTATTTTCTCTGAAAAGAGAGCGAAAATAGGAAAAGKTGGTCAAAACACCACTAAACAAACTTGCATGATTTTCAAATAACCGACTATGGGGGCCACAGATTTTAACAAGAAATTCAGTTACTCAACCAAAAGAGTTTTGATTCAGAGAATTTGTTTAAGTACAAAACATCTTTATACAGATTTACTTACATTTGCAGCTTCAAATTGTGCAATTCTACAAACAGGGTACTAAAATAGTACCATTCACTGGCTTCTATATATTCTAAATTTGTTAATCTTGAGCCTAATGTGTAGCTGACAAGTGTTGAACAAATACGGTATTTGGGTGGTCTGATTTCGTTTAAAATGGCTGGCTGTGCAAATTTTGTCGTTTAGCGATATCATCACATTTCTAAACGTATTTATCAAACATGAAAGTTACCGGGTGAAAACATTTAAATTTTTCATACATTTTTTCCTTCTAGAAGCTCCAAATGAGGATTTGCATAGCAATGGTCGAGTGGGAAAAACAATATATAGTTAACAAAATTCATTAGTATTAACTACTTACTACCATGTAATTTGTGCTAAAAAATGTGAACATTACTTTGACTAATTAGTTAATTAATCAATAAAATTTATTTTTTACGTTGAGCGGATTGCATGGTCATGTTTAAGTTAAAAATGCCTTGCACCGTTTTCTGCACAATTCAATTGTTAAAGGCAAAATAAAATAAAAAACACCGTAAATTAATTAACTTAATTGTTATTAAATTGTTGCTTGTTATGGACGATCAGATTTTAAGCTTAATTTGATATGTAAGTAGGCATACGTTTTCAAATAAAAAGTTCATGTTATTCATGGAGACAGCGACGGAAGTTCAAGAAAGCCAGTGCGGAAATAGCAGTAGAGGTTTCCTGCTAGAAGAATCCCTAATAAGAAAATATTTGTTAATGTGCATTTTCTACAGCTACTCCAAAACGTCCAGTGCAGCAAGAACTGAATGAAAAGGAAGTGATTCCTAAAATAATCGAAAATAGTCCCTCTACTGGGTTTGATCCTGTTCTTTCTGCAAGGGACGTTCTCCAGTAGCTTTAAGAAAATGCACTTAGGTAGGTAGATGAATACTTTATAATTAATAATTTTTTGAACAGGACGCATCCAATGGTTTCCCGTAGTGAAAACGTAGCCTCACCAATCAATAAATTAGTGTCTTCAACTATTTGAAGTGAGTTTTGGTTAAAAGTTAAAAGTGTGTAAGGCTTTTTTGACTGAAAATTGACTCAAAAATAATACCTTAATCTATGGACATCGAGTCACGACACGCCCTATCCATCCTTTCGAACAACTTGGCTAAAAATTTCCATATTTTCTGCCATTTATTGAGTTAAATTCCACAAGGCAGATCTGAAGGAAAATTGTATTTTGCACTCTTTATGGCGACCTTTTTGTAGGATTTAAACGCACATGTCTGTCGTGTTTTAATCGTAATAACATGCAAAAGGTAAGAAGGCCAACAAAGTAACATGCATATCCTTTAAAATCTAAATAATCGCAATAAATCGCATCTTGTTCATCAAATTGAATATGATTACTTAAATGATGAAAAATTGCGCTTAACACCTTTCTGTATCCAAATTCTGCCTTAAATTAGTCGCAATTACCTTAAGTTCGCGAACAACCTTCAACATCCTCATGTAGGGTCAAATTGCTGCATTTTGGGTCAAAAATCACGCAATTGATGGAGAAAACGTTCTAAATCCGCGACAAATTAAAAAAATCCCTTAGAAAATGGAAATATTCCAGAATTTTTCGACATCTGGTCGGAGTGAATCGCGCAAAGTATTCCCTATCCACTATTGAACATTCGACTAATTCGACTGAATGACATGAAGAATGAACCTGATAACTCGATAACCAATGCGAAAAAGCGGGTGAAATAAATACATTTTTTAATCAAACCAATTAACAATTTGTTAACTGTATGATTATTTACGAAATGGAAATAGCGAGCCGACACATTAAAATCGTCCTGAAAGCGGGATATCTTGGTGTCAGAATATTTAAAGACAAATAAACATTTTTTACTTATATACATTCAGAACCGTGTATTAAGTCAAGCTACTGGAAATCCAGCAAACGTAAACAGATCTTGTAATTTGTAATTTGAGACAGCTTTTAACAACTAAAATAAACACACCGGCTCCAATGTGAAGATTTCAGATGCGACTGGGGGTGCAACTTTGGTCATATGTAACCAGATGATCTATTAGTGATCACCTGATTTATAAAGCGACTGAAAGTTTTAGTGCATTTACTTACTACTCAAAAGTGGTCAAAAGTACTGTTTCACTATAGAAGCACTAGAAGGTAGTTAATAGTTTGATTGAAAGAAAATTCACCAAATATATTCAAAAGATTCACCTCAAAAGGCTAATTTTTCGTCAATATCTTTGCTTTATTTGTAGATATATTCCGATTTTCAATGATTATTCTACTTTCTCACCACTCTTTTCAAGAGCTTGTACATTTAATGCTAAGTTCCTTCAGTTTTTACTTAATTCAAACCATAACAGTTTACCATCAAAAGAAATTAAAAGAAGATCCTTTGCCGATCAAAGTAAAGGACATATTTTCTATGCAGATGCAATTCCAGAAGAATACTGACAAACTTTTTAGAATGCCAAGAAATGTATCTTGAATATTCTATTAATTGTTTCAAGCTTCAGTGAAATTCCCTTGGTTTGAACATATTTTTGGCGGATTTAGTAGATTGATTGATGAATAACGAATAATTTGAGGATGAATCTAGGCCT